CCGGCTAGTTTTTTGTATTTTTTAGTAGAGCGGTGGTTTCACCGTGTTTAGCCAGGATGGTCTTTTTTTTTTTTGAAATTTTGGGAAAAAAATTACATATCAGCATAAATAAATCTTGTTTGGGTGTCCAAGAAATAATTCCAATTTCGGGGCATTTGCAGTGAGATCACGCCATTGCACTACCGTCTAGGCAACAAGAACAAAACTCTGCCTCAAAAAAAAAAAAAAAAAAAAATTATTTTCTTTTGTTGGAAATTTTAGGAATAAAATTCTAGCCACAAGACCTTAATAGGCACAGGATCAACATTATCCTCAAACTTATTTCCCATTAGAAGAATTCCTGAAAAAAGGCTAGGCACAGTGATTCATGCCTGTAAACCTGACACTTTGGGAGGCCGAGGCAAGTCAATCACCTGAGGCCAGGAGTTCAAGACCAGCTTGGCCAATGTGGCAAAACTCCATCTTCTACTAAAAATATAAAAATTAGCCGGGAGTGGTGGCACACATCTGCAATACCAGCTACTTGGGAGGCTGAGGCACAAGAATTACTTGAACCTGGGGGGCAGAGGTAGCAGTGAGCTGAGATCACGCCACTGCACTCCAGTCTGGGTGACAGAGAGAGACTTGGTATCAAAAAGAAAAAAAAAAAAAAGAAGAATTCCTGAAAAAAGTCCTCATTTCTTTCTATTGTAAAGATTTATTATTAATCCAAAAAAAATGACTCATGAGAGGTTCTACATTGTCAGAAAATAGCACAGGAATTTTTAGGAACTGAAAGAGACAATGAAGTGATTTGCACATAAATACTTGCTAATAGAATGATTCATCCAGAAAGTAGTTTGAAGAGATAAAATACTTGAGAAAAGAAATTCAAAAGATGGATGAGAAAACAAATCTCATAAAAATCAAATGATAATACAATTCCAAAAAGAAAATGGGAATTATCCACCTAATCTTTGGCCCACAAAAAAATCTATATGAACCTACATCTTTAAGAATTATTTAAAAAGGCAGGGAAAACCACATGCAAAATTTAGAGGACATTAATATTTACCAGCAATTCTAGGAGAAATTCTTTATCAAAAGTTGTGTCTTCATTTTTAGGAAGAGTTGGCAACAAGCAGAGGTATGATGCCACCTGGTGGAGTGTGTTTGAACTGCAGAATAGATAACAATATTTTATTCATATTAACTTCACTTTTGAAACATGTATTTTTACAAATAGCTCAAAAAAACAAATATAATACTATGACATGGGCAGCAAATATTAAAAATCAGCAATGAAAATTAAGGCTTTAGTGCAGGGTTCTCAAAATATTTTCTGCAAACCTTTCATTGTACCCAAGTGTGCCTTCTGGGCAGTCACCAAGAACACTTTTAAATATTAATACTGGCCAGGCGCAGTGGCTCACGCCTGTAATCCCAGTGCTTTGGGAGGCTAAGGCGGGCGGATCATGGGGTCAGGAGATCGAGACCATCCTGGCTAACATGGTGAAATCCCGTCTTTACTAAAAATACAAAAAATTAGCCGGGCGTGGTGGCAGGTGCCTGTAGTCCCAGCTGAGGCAGGAGAATGGTGCGAACCCGTTAGGTGAGCTTGCAGTGAGCTGGGATCATGCCACTGCACCCGAGCCTGGACGACAGAGTGAGACTCTGTCTCAACAAAAAAAAAAAAAAAAAGACAAACTGTTTATACAGCCTTGGACAAATGGCATTTTTTTTTTTAAATTTCAAATTTTGAATAAAATAACTCTATAACTTCAAGGAAAACAACTATCAGTACTTGCTGTCAACGATAAAATCTGAACCTCCACGTGAATGTGAAAAATTAGAATTTTGGAAAACCAGTATTTGCCACCATGAGCTTCATAGCTTTCCACTATTTAATTGGTTTCTTCACCTCCCCAAAATTCCTGTGCTAATTTACAGCAAATCCTACTCTCCATCCCAGCCCAGCAACCATAATCAGTTTCTATTTGTAATTCTGTCTTTTCCGGGAGGTCAAATAAATGGAACCACACATTAGTTAGTCTTTTTTCTTGTTTTTTGAGACGAGTCTCACTCTGTCGCCCAGACTGGAGTGCAGTGGCACGATCTCAGCTCACTGTCACCTCCACCTCCGGGACTTAAGCAATCCTCTCACCTTAGCCTCCCAAATAGGTGGAACCACAGGTGTGCACCACCACATCCGGCTAAATTTTGGTATTTTTGGTACAGACGAGGTTTCACCATGTTGCGGTCTCAAACTGCTAAGCTCAAGTGATCCACCTGCCTCGGCCTCCCAAAATGCTGGGATTACAAGTGTGAGCCACAATACCTGGTCTTAGGTAGCCTTTTGAATGGCTGCTTTTACTTAGCATAATGCATTTGAGATTCACCCACACTGCGTATTTATCTGTAGTTGGTTCCTCTATGCTGCTGAGCAGTATTTCATGACGTGGCTGCAACACAGTATGTTTATTCATTCAACAGTTGAGGGATATTTGTGTAGTCCAGTTTTTGACGATTTTGAATAAAGCAACTATATTCATTTTTGTACATATTTTTGTGTGAACATAAGTTTTCACTTTTCTTGAATATATCTGTAAGTGGAAAACACTGGATCATAATGTTAAGTTCATGTTTATCTTTACAAGAAACTCAAATTTTTCCAAAGTGGCTATCCCACTTTGAATCCCACCAGCAATTATGAGAATTCCAATTGCTCCACATCCTTGCCAAGAGTCAATATTATCTGTTTCAGGGTTGGTTTTTTTTTTTTTTTTTTGGTTTTGTTTTGTTTTGAGACAGGGTCTTGCTCTGTCGTCCAGGCTGAAGTACAGTGGTATGATCATAGTTCACTGCAGCCTCAACCTCCCGGGCTCAAGCAATCCTCTTATCTCAGCCTCCTGAGTAGCTGGGATTATAAGTATTGTGCCAACACGCCTGGCTAATTGTTTTGATTTTTAGTAGATAAGTGATCCTTCTGCCTCAGCCTCCCAAAGTGCTGGAATCACAGACATGAACCATTGTGCCTGGCTTTACCCATTTAAAAAAACAAAAAAAAATTCTAATAGGTATGTAGTATCTTCTTATGGTTTAAATTTGTATTTCCCCAATGACTAAACGTGTTAAGCATCTTTCCATGGGCTTACTGACATCTATTTTGGTCAAGTGTCTGTTCAAATCTTTTGTCACTTGTAAATTGTTTTATTATCATAGGAGTCCCCACTTATCTGTGGTTTCACTTCCCGTAATTTCAGTTACTCATGGTTGACCACAGTCTGGAAATAGTTAAGTACAGTAGAATAAGATCTCTTGAGAGAGAGACGACATTCGCATAACTTTTTATTATAGTATACTGTTATAACTGTTCTCCTATTATTGTTCTTAATCTCTTACTGTGCCTAATTCATAGCTTTATCATAGGTTTTTACGTGTACATGTAAAAACACAGTATAGGGTTCAGTACAATCTACAGTTTCAGGCATCCACTGGGGTTCTTGGAACACATTTCCTGCAGAAAGTGGGGGACTACTGTATTGAGTTCTGAGATTTCTGGGTACCATTCCTTCATCAAGTATCTATTTAGCCAATATTTTCTTCTAGGTCATAGCTTTTTTTTTTTATTCTCTTATCAATGTCTTTCAAAGAGCAGAAGTCTCCTAGTTTTGATCAAGTCCAATTCATCATTTTTTGTTCCATTATGGATTGTGCTTTGGTGTCTATAGAAATCTTTGCACAAACCACGATCACAAAAAATTTCTCACATATTTCCTAGAAGTTTTAGGTTTGACATTAAGGTCTATAATCCCTTTTTGGTTAATTTATGTATATGATGCAAAGTATGGGTCAAGATTTATACTTTGCATATGGATATCTAATTGTTTCGGCACCACTGATGAAATCCTTTCTCTACTGAGTTGCCTTGACACATTAGTCAAAACTCAACTAACCATATAAGTATGGTCTATTTCTGGACTCAATTCTATTCCATTGATCTATACATCTATCCATTTATCAATACCATAATGTCTTGATTACTATAGCTTTACAGCAAGTCTTGAAATTAGTAGAAATCTTCCAACTTTGTTCTGTTACAAAATGGTTTGGGCTATTATAGTTCCTTTGCCTTTCTATGTTATTTTTAAAATGTTTGTCAATTTCTATAAAATATCCTGCTAGAATTATGATTGGAATTAAAATATATCCATAAATTAATTTGGGAAGGATTCACACGTTGAGTCCTCTTATCCATAAGCAAGACCTAGCTTCTAATTTTTCAAATTAATTCATTTTAATTGTACAGACTTCCTTGACACGGTTTCAGATTCTACTCTGAAACTAATTTTTAAAGGAACTACCACTTGTCAAGTTTTCATAGCGTATCAAAGAACATTCCCAATTATTTGATAAAGCTTATCAAAATACACTTCCCTCTGTGTAAGGCCGAATTGTCTTAATTTACTTCAACCAAAACAATAATCACAACAAACTGAATCCAGAAGCAGATCTGCAAATCTGTCTTCAATTAAATCAGTCACAAAAAAGTAAAACAATGACACTCTTTTAATGGTGGCTTTTTTTTCACTTTGGAGAATACGTTTTTCATTAGCAATACATATGGCTAACATACAACAGATTTCAATCAATATACTTTTTTTTTTTTGAGACAGAGTCTCACTCTGTTGCCCAGGCTGGAGTGCAGTGCCACAATCTTGGCTTACTGCAACCTCCACCTCCCAGGTTCAAGCCATTGTCTTGCCCCAGGCTCCCAAGTAGCTGGAATTAAAGGCATGCACCACCACGCCTGGCTAATTTTTGTATTTTTAGTAAGATGGGGTTTCACCATGTTTGCCAGGCTGGTCTCGAACTCCTGACCTCAGGTGATCCGCCCACCTCAGCCTCCCAAAGTGCTGGGATTACAGGCATGAGCCACCACGCCCAGCCTCAATTGGTATTTTTAAATGAATTAATAAACATTTAAGATCGTTCCAGTTTTTATTTCTACTATAGTGAATATAATGAATATAATACACATAAATGTTCTTCGGGACCCTCAATAATTTTTAAGAGTGTAAAGGAGTTCTACGGGCAAAAATAAATTCCCCAGATGAATTATGCAGCTAAGCTAAATGTTTAAAAAAAAAAAAAAAGGCAACAAAAGTATTTTTAAAATAAAGGAAAACATTTTATAACCTTAGGGTGAGAAGGACTTCTACATAAAGCACCTAATATAGTTATTTAAAAGATTGACAGTTGTCATTAAAAATTTTAAATATCCATAATAACAAAAGATGTTATAAGCAAAGTTAAACTGAGAGCAAATAACTGCAACACAAACTAGACAAAGGATTAGGATCAAAAATATTAAAAGTTCTTTAAAATCAGTAAGATGACAAGCAAGGAAATGCAAAATAGCAAAAGAAAATAAGAAGGTTACAGAAGAAATATAAATGGCCAAGAAAAAACAGAAAAATGCTTAATTTCCCGAATAAGATCAGGGAAATGCAAAGTAAAACGAGACAAAAATAGCAAAAATTAAAGTCTAATTTACCCAGCATTAGTAGGGAGAAAAATAAATCCTCATACACTGCTAGTTTAAGTGTAAACTGATATAGTCTTTTCTGAAGGAAATTTAGCAATATGTAACAAATTTTAAACACACGCCCCATTTGAGTCAGCCATTCTGCTTCTAGGAATCAGTATGAAAAGGATGCTCATTGCAGAACTGTTTGTAAAAGCCAAAACTTAAAAATTAAATATTCACCAACAGGAGGCCAGGCACGGTGGCTCATGCCTGTAATCCCAGCTCTTTGGGAGGCCAATGCAGGATCACCTGAGGTCAGAAGTTCAAGACCAGCCTGGCCAACATGGTGAAACCTCATCTCTACTAAAACTGCAAAAATTAGCTGGGCATGGTGGAACGTGCCTGTAGTCCCAGCTATTCAGGAGGCTGAGGCAGGAGAATCGCTTGAACTCGGGAGGCGGAGGTTGCAGTGAGCCAAGATCACACCACTGTACTCCAGTCTGGGCGACAGAGCAAGACGTCGTCCCAAAAAAAAAAAAAGATTCGCCAATAGGAGATTAACTTTTAAAAAAATAGTATGGTGGTCCTGTTTAATGGAACTCTATGTAGTTATTTAAAAGAATGAAATGAATCTATGTGTTATTAATTATATTAAATCCTCATATGAGAATGAACAACCAAACCAACCTCAGTTCATTACATTTTAAATAGTCAAAGAACTAAACATAATTCCTCCCAAGAGCTGGGAGATGATACAGTACAGTAGTTAAAAGTTAGGGCTTGGAAATCACACTATCTGGGTTTAAATTGTATCTCTGCCACTTACTTGCTGTGTAACCTAGGCAAATTACTTAACTATTCTATGCCTCAGATACCTTATATGTAAAATGGTACCTACTTCTAGTATGAGTTTTCAGAGTTGTTTACACACTTAACAGAATGTCTTTCACATAGTAAATAAATGTATGCCATTATTATCACTATTTTCAAAAGGATATATTAGCAGATAACTAAGTGCCAGAGGATATTACTAATTTTATAAATTTTAAACATGCAAAAATTTCCCTAAGTCACACCTCTAGTATCACACATAATGAATCTTTATTGGTTTTTGTCATATGTCGTCTGATTGATGAAAATGACCAGCTTTATATTCTACTCTAAGAAAAATTTAAGATCTAAGAAAAGTGTATACGTCATAAAAAATAGAAACTTTACCAAACATGGATAAGTGACAAAGACACCAAACTGCTGGAGAGAAGCACTAGTTGTAGACGTCAATGAAGAGTGAAATAACAAGTAATATTACCTAAAGTACTGCAAAATGATTAAAAGCAATAAAGAAAAGTAAAATTGAGGCAGCATGATACAAAAAAAGAATATATAGTTTTTCCATGTTGTCTTACCTAAGAGGTCCAAAAAACTTGACCAAGGACTCCCGAGTATCTACTTCTGCCACGTTTGAGAGGGCAAAATCATAGAGTTCAGGAAAATGTGCAAAAGCAGCTCTCTAGAAAATAACAGCAAAAAATATTAATAATTAATGTCTACATATTAATATAAACATCTATTTAAGAATGAAAATATTTTATAAAAATATTAACGCATTTCTCTTTCTTACGTGACCTCTACCTTAGACAGAAGCATATAATAAAAAGAGAAAAAACTGCAACTGTCATAGCAGAAATGTAAAAAACAGAGTCGGCGTTCAGCTTTTGATATCTGAAAGCATTTTCAATATATATGAAAATAGCCACAAAGGCAAGCTTTATTGATAGAAGAGGAGAAAAAAACAAATACACACTTGATTATCAAGAACTGGTCTAACAAGACTAAAAGAAAGTCCCAAGGGAAACTCTGGCTGCAGAGAGAACTTGAAGGAAAGACCAAAAACATTATGCTTGTGCCTTGCTTTTGTTTGGAACTCTGGGAAAAGACCTCACAGGGTAGCAGTCTCAACCAACATAGGGTAAGCTGTCAGAAAACAGAAATAGTAGCATTGCAACAGAGTGACTGAGATAATATCCCTAGTCTTCCTTGGGATTTGACGACAGAGTGATTGAAATAATATCCCTAGTCTTCCTTGATGCCCATGTGGCACAGAAAAGATTCAGAAGTTTTCATGTGTTCCATGGTGGATGACACAGAAGGTTGCCAAGGTTGCCAGGAGCGAGCTTGCCATGGGATTATGAGATTACTACACACAATGGCAAAATGACTCCGCAACCCAAGCATGAGAAAACAATTGTATAAGCAAGGAAATAAACAAGTCAGTCCTTAGGAGAATGCTAGCACCATCAGGCAAAGTTGGGGCCTCCTCAACAGGGGAAATAGCCAAGTTCCTTGGAAGCAATAATGATGCTTTGCCTGTGTCAATACAATAGACCACATGCCACACCAGCTGTGGTTATTCCAAGGGCACAGGACAAAAACACTAACGCTGTGAAAAAAGCAGGAAAAGACATCTGAGTTAATCCCTCTTCCAAAACAATAAGGCCATTTTGGTATCTCCACATACCTACTAGGAAAGAAAAATAACAGAGATTTTTTTTCGCTTTGTACACCATTATTTATTTATTTATTTTTCTTCTAAAAACAAAAAAAACGGGATACATGTGGAAATGTGCAGGTTTGTTACATAGGTATACATGTGCCATGGTGGTTTGCTGCACCTATTGGCCTGTCCTCTAAGTTCCCTCCCCTCAACTCCCATCCCCAACAGGTCCTGGTGGGTGTTGATCCCCTCTCTGTGTCCATGTATTCTCAATGTTCAACTCCTGCTTATGAGTGAGAACATGCGGTGTTTGGTTTTTCATTCCTGTGTTACTTTGCTGAGGATGATGACTTCCAGCTTCATCCATGTCCCCGCAAGGGACATGATCTCATTCCTTTTGATGGCTGCATAGTATTCCATGGTGTGTATGTGCCACATTTTCTTTATCCAGTCTATCATTGATGGGGATTTGGGTCGGTTCCATGTCTTTGCTATTGTAAATAGTGCTGCAATAAACATAAGTGTGCATGTGCCTTCATAGTAGAATGATTTATATTCTTTTGGGTATATACCCAATAATGGGATTGCTGGGTCAAATGGTATTTCTCGTTCTAGATCCTTGAGGGATCACCATACCGTCTTCCACAATGGTTGAACTAATTTACATTGCTACCAACAGTGTAAAAGCGTTCCTATTTCTCTGCAGCCTTGCCAGCATCTATTGTTTCCAGAGTTTTTAATAATTGCCATTCTGACTGGTGTGAGATGGTATGATATCTCATTGTGGTTTTGATTTGCATTTCTCTGATGATCAGTGATGTTGAGTTTTTCTTCGTATGTTCGTTGGCCACATAAATGTCTTCTTTTGAGAAGTGTCTGTTCATACACGTTGCCCACTTTTTGATGGGGTTGTTTTTTTCTTGTAAATATGTTTAAGTTCCTTATAAATTCTGGATATTAGACCTTTGTCAGATGGATAGATTGCAAAAATTTTCTCCCATTCTGTAGGTTGCCTGTTCATTCTGATGATAGTTTCTTCTGCTGTGCAGAAGCTCTTTAGTTTAACTAGATCCCATTTGCCAATTTTGGCTTTTGTTGCAATTGCTTTTGGCGTTTTTGTCATAAAGTCTTCGCCCATGCCTATGTCCTGAATGGTATCGCCTAGGTTTTCTTGTAGGGTTTTTATGGTTTTGGGTTTTACTTTTAAGTCTTTAATTCACCTTGAGTTAATTTTTGTATAAGCTGTAAGGAAGGGGTCCAGTTTCACTTTTCTGCATGTGGCTAGCCAGTTTTCCCAGCACCATTTACTGAATAGGAGATCCTTTCCCCATTGCTTGTTTTTGTCATGTTTGTCAAAGATCAGATGGTTGTAAACGTGTGGTGTTATTTCTGAGGTCTCTGTTCTGCTCCACTGGTCTATATGTCTGTTTTGGTACCAGTACCAAGCTGTTTTGGTTACTGTAGCCTTGTAGTATATAGTTTGAAGTCAGGTAGCATGATGCCTCCAGCTTTGGAGAAGAGAGATCTCTTAAGAGATAGCTAACTTGATTATAAAAGGGTTTGAACTGAACCTTTACCCCTTACAAAAGACTCTTTAAAACAGAAATAGCTGGATTACTTTAAACAGAAATAGCTGGATTATTTTAAACTGACAAATAAAACTTCCTTCTACCATCAGAGAAACTGAAGCTCAAGAACAAGATAAGATCAGCAATAGAAAACAAATGAAGATACTTTTTTGGGCATATCTGAACTACACTGGTAAATTTCAGTCCCATCATATGTGTTCATCTTAAAAATGTGCAAAATGCTTACACACCCCCTGCCATATGTTGAAATACTCTTTAATAAAATAAAACTGACAGCAGAGCTAATATTTAAATGCACCAAACTGGCCCAATAACTAATATTTCTGAGTAGCAAATATCAGTATACTGATTCACAGAATTTAGACAGGTTATAAAAGAAAGTCTTATTTTTCAAGAATTCATCAGAAAAAGAAACACTAAAAATATTGAATATAAAAACACTATTAAATTAACATCGTTTTCAATCTGTACCTATAAAAAACCTAAATTGTAGTATCACAAAACCTTATGGAGCATACACAAAGTCTATAATGTATTTTAATTACCTGTAGAGATGTAATTCTATCATAGTGAATTGTGGTCATCTCATTCTCTGTCAGAGCATTTCCAGTTTGGTCATTAATTTCAAAACCAGTATAGAATTTAAGCATGTCCAAAAGCTGAAGAAACACATTTAAATGTATAAATCATATGAACATAAGGGCAAGAAAGCACAATACTATTCAAAATAATAAACAGGTTCACACAGTTTCTCAGAGGTGCTGAAAAACTCAGGAATGTAAACATTACAAAAAAGATTTTTAGAGTATATCCAACTAAAAATGTTTTAGTTACGTGAAAATGGATGTGAATAAATTGTTAAGTCTATTTCATATACATCATCTACTTCTGCAAAGAAAAACTTACACTGCAATCCCAATACTTAAGAGACATTAAGGAGGTAATCTAAAGAAGCCCAGCATTTTAATGAAACAAACAAAATCTATCTTATCTATCTACATCACTGAAAACTTACAAAGCTATAGCACCAGAGGGAACTCCTGAGGTCTCTTACTGCAGGTTTTGCAATTCATAATTGGAGATACTTTTTTATATGCTGCTTTTTTTTTTTTTTTTTGAGTCAGAGTCAAGCTTTGTCGCCCAGGCTGGAGTGCAGTGGCGCGATTTCGGCTCACTGCAAGCTCTGCCTCCCGGGTTCACGCCATTCTCCTGCCTCAGACTCCCGAGTAGCTGGGACTACAGGTGCCCACCACCACGCCCAGCTAATTTTTTGTATTTTTAGTAGAGACTGGGTTTCACCGTGTTAGCCAGGATGGTCTCAATCTCCTGACCTCATGATCTGCCTGCCTCGGCCTCCCAAAGTGCTGGGATTACAGGTATGAGCCACCGTGCCTGGCTGTGCTGCTTCTTTTAGGGAAAAACAGTAAGACAGGGAAAGCTAAGTTATTCTTTTTTCTCCATGGCCATCAAAGTTCTTTGGCTTAGTTTCTCTTGCTAACGAGGCTCTGATGTCTCCCCTGTAGCAGCAGCTTCAACAGAGCCTACTGGCTGCACTCAACCCAAATCTTTATTTTTAGATCTAATCTATGGCAGATCAGATATTAGGATTTAAAATATTTTAATATATGTGGCAAATCACTAGATAGAAATTTTAAAAAAGAATAGGAGAAATGCTCACAGATATAAAAGAACAAAGGGGATATGTAAACACATACCAAAACTGTATCTCTAAGTATGATCTCATTGAAAGATAGCATTAGAAGTTTGTTAAAAATGATTTCTTCTGCTGGGTGCAGTGGTTCACGCCTGTAATCCCAGCATTTTGGGAGGCCAGGGTGGGCAAATTGCCTTAGTTCAGGAGTGTGAGACCACCTCGGTAACATGGTAAGGCCCTGTGTCTACTAAAAATACAAAACATTAGCCAGGCGTGGTGGTGCATACCTGTAATTCCAGCTGGTATCAGGATGGTATTAAACTGGGGAGGCTGAGGCAGGAGAATCACTTGAACCCAGGAGGCGGAGGCTGCAGTGAGCCAAGATCATGCCACCACCACTGCACTCCAGCCTGGGTGACAGAGCAAACTCTGCCTCCGCAAACAAAACAAAACCAAAAGAAATGCTTTCTTCTGCATGACATAACAGGAAATGTAAAATACTGTGTCTTCCTACCAAGACAACAAAGTTAAGTGCATTTGCAGCTTCCTTATTCAAGGGAGCATGTACACTTCTACACGATCAACTGTCTGTCACCATCATCTTATAGAAAGAGTCATAGTATTGGGGCATAGTTCATTTAAAATTAATGCCCATCAGCTATTATATTTCACATAAAATCAAAACTTGTGAACATGTGTGACTGTATTCCCCAATCATAATTTAGTGCAATAATAAAAATCACATATAATGAACAAAAAGTTATATAATTACTAGAGGCAATCTATATAAGAATACATTCATTTTACACATTAAGACATGACTTTAAAATAACCAGGAATTTGTGTTATGCCCTGATACTGCCAGTTGTGTGGCAAAGAAAAGATCAGTTTAGAAAGTAAAACAATAAATATGTTCAGCTACATAAATATTCACCTGGGAAAAAAGATGGCCATCCTCTTCTCTATGAACAAGATTGGAAAGGTAACAGTGAACCAGAAGGTGGGAGTCATCCAGGATGGTATTAAACCAGCGCCTTGTGGGTAATAGGGCCTGGGAAAAACAAACATCGTAACAGTAAGTTTGCATCTATTCTCCACAGCTAGAAGTGAAATGTACTGATACTTAACTCACAAGTATTAATCACATACAAGGCACCCTCCAACCTTCCAATAGACACACGGTACACAATGCAAGAGGTCCCGTTCATGCTGTAAATAAACCCAGTGGCAATGTTTTTGGTTTTAAAAACAATGATGATGATGAAAGAACTTTTAAGATAAAATTGAAAATAAGGGACCGGGCATGGTGGCTCATGCCTATTATCCCAGCACTTTCGGAGGCCGTGGCAGGTGGAGGCAGGTGGATCACCTGAGGTCAGGAGTTGGAGATTAGCCTGGCCAACAGGGCAAATCCCTATCTCTACTAAGAATACAAAAACTAGCTGGGTGTGGTGATGGGCGCCTGTAATCCCAGCTACTCGGGAGGCTGAGGCAGGGAGAACTGCTTGAACCCAGAAGGCAGAGGTTGTCTTCAACCAAGATCCTGCCACCACACTCCAGCTTGGGCGACAGACCAAGACTCTGTCAAAGACAAGAAAGAAAGAAAAGAAAGGAAAGGAAGGGGAGGAAGGGGAGGAAAGGGGAAGGGGAGGGAGGGAGGGAGGGAGGGAGGGAGAGAGAGAGAGAGAGAGGAAGGGAGGGGAGGGAGGGAGGGAGGGAGGGAGGAAGGAAGGAAGGAAGGAAGGAAGGAAGGAAGGAAGGAAGGAAGGAAGGAAGGAAGGAAGGAAATCTAGCACTAAAGGAATCTCACAGATCATCTTGTCCCGTAGTTTTCCAACAAAATCCTACATAAAATCCCGTATGTACTGTGTGTAAGTTTAAAAGTGGAGTTGCTCTGAGAAAAAAGGAAGTACAAATTCCTATGTGGAGATTCCTGTTTCCTCTCCTCATGTTCCCCTACACCATAGCTTGCAAATCACTAATCTAATCAAATATCCTCATTTTATAGATGAAGTTATTGAGACCCTCAGAAGTTATAAATTAGTTACTGGCAAAGCTAGAATTTGAAAGATCTCATGAATGACTGCTAGTCCAATATGCTAATACTCGTATCAAGAAACCACCTTACTTCTCCAGATAAGGAACAGATTTTCTTTCAATTTCCCACATTAATGAGAAAGGAAAGGAAATCAATTCTGTATCTGAACTTGTCAGCAAATCCTGCGCGAAAGAGTACGAATTTTTTTTTGTTTTTAAGAATCTTCATTTTAAAAAACTGAACACAGCAGCTATATTTTTCTTTGCAAACATTGGGCACATTTAGAAAAGTGAGATTATTTAAGGAGACAATTATAAACCCATGACTTCAGCCACTATAGAAAACTCTGTATGAGGGGTATTGAAGTATGACACAAAATCAATTGTCACTGCTAGACTCATGTTTAATAACTACACTACGTAATATTTTTTCTACACACAACAGCCCATGATAGATGAGTCAGTCATTTGAAAACCTCAAGGGCCAACTACTTGTGACTTCCTTCTCTAAGTGACACCCTGAAACAGGTGCAAAGTAAAACGAGTTTGAGGTGATGAAGAAGTACTTCATATAGACCAGGCACAGTGGCTCACACCTATAATCCTCCTACTTGGGAGGCCAAGGTGCAAGGACTGCTTGAGCCCAGGAGTTTGAGACCAGCCTGGGCAATATGGTGAAACCCTGTTTCTACAAAAAACACAAAAATTAGCTGGGCGTGGTGGTGCCCAACTGTAGTCTAAGCTGCTCAGGAGTATGAGGTGGATCCGGAGGATCACTTGAGGCCTGGGAGGCGGAGCTTGCAGTGAGCCGAGACAGCGCCACTGCGTTCTAGCCTTGGTGACAGAGCAAGACCCTGTCTCAAAGGAAAGAAAAGAAGAAAAGAGAAGAGAAAAGAAGAGAAGAGAAAATAATTTTTTTTATTTTATTAGTGTATTTTTACTGTATTTTATTGTATTGTATTGTATTAACTTTTTATTAATGTATAATGTATATTAATGTATATCAACAAATAATGTATACTATATCATTATACAATACATGGGCGCCCAATATGTATTGTATTATTATACATATGTATAATATATATGTATACAATAAATAATACAATACATATGTATAATAAATATATACTACATATGTACTGAAAGAAAAGGAAAGAAAAAAAATACTTCATGTATAGTCATATGCTTAATCTTGGACCCCCTAATGATTATATAACAAAAGGTCACTGTAGATTTCTTACCTCTAGATCAATCATAAGTTCAATGAATCTTTCACAGTAATGAACTTTGTCCATAGTGACAGGTTCTAGACATAAGAGAGAAAGCATGATAGAATTTTCTTACTAGACCATTTTGCACGCTGTTTCTGAAAACTGGCAGTTATTTAATAACTTAAATAAAGTCATTTGTCTTTTATTCACCAGAATTGGACTATGATCTAGAATGAGGATCTCACATATATGTATTTTTTAAGGCAGGTCTTACCCTGATACTTAGCTCTACAAATATGAGAAAATAAAAAATCTAGCTTGGGTCAGAAGCACATTTTAAAAATCAGGTTTGCAAAGACATTTTAAAAGTATTAATCTTTAAAAATCCGTATTTAATTAGATCTTGGAAAAACTTAGAGATATAAAAACCAGAAGGCAGTTTTATATCAGTTTTTGCTCCACTTTCCTCATTGTCTTTACATTCTAAACTTCTGAGAGTTTTCTCATATGTATAAACACACACACGTGTATCTACACACACACCTTTAAACTGCACTGAAAACTAATTAGAGAGATAATTTTTATGATTTTTTCCACTGTACATATATTACTTTAACATTAGAATGCCAATGACACAACGAACAATAAAAATACCTTCTAGGCCGGGCGCGGTGGCTCAAGCCTGTAATCCCAGCACTTTGGGAGGCCGAGACGGGCGGATCACGAGGTCAGGAGATCGAGACCATCCTGAAATACAAAAAACTACCCGGCGACGAGTGGGCGGCGCCCCTGTAGTCCCAGCCTACTCGGGAGGCTGAGGCAGGAGAGATGGCGTTGCAGTGAGCCAGATCGTGCCACTGCACTCCAGCCTGGGCAACAGAGTGAGACTCCATCTCAAAAAAAAAAAAAAAAAAAAAAAAAATACCTTCTAAATCACTAGCTTATTATATTACTATTTATGAGCATAATATACTATTTTTACAAACATTTATTTTTGTTTTTAAATAATTACAACCTTAGGGCATGAAATTCTTTCAGAGTACAAGCTTTTTTCCAATGCCAGGAAATGGTCTACCATTTTACCAACTAAAACCATCCTGTCAAGTTGGTTTCAATTAAAACAAAGATAATTTTAGGTTTCCTGTTGCTACTTAGTTTAAAGACTTGCAGCAGTGACTAACACCCAGTGCCAGATCTATAGAAGGCATCCTACAAATGCTTACATAAAAATCCATTTATTTATCTGTAGTGTACAGGAAAACGGAAAGCTTAACGAATACTTTTGTGTTTAACATATACAGAAATGTTAACTGGAACTTTTCAGCTAGCATATGCCCATAATCCAAACCCTGAAATAACAGAAGTATAGAAATTATTAGCTGGAAAAGACCTTTGAGAGCATCTATTCTAGATCTTCATTTTCCAGGTAGAAAAACATGATCAGAGAAAATGACCTGATAAAGGTGTAAAGCTAGAATGGTTGGTTAGAACTGGAACCCAGGTTTTCTGAGACATACACATACAGTTGCTTAAAATAAAAATTTAAAGGAGCAATTTTTAAATTAAATCCATTCAAACCAATCTTTTGTTGCTATCTTTTGTTCTTGTAACCGTCAAAGGAAAACATTTTTTCCCAAACTAAAAGAGTGAGCAAATTCTGAATTCTGTATCTTTATTTATGTCTTGAGAAATTACTGGCAATGGCCTATTTAAAATTAGAAAACAATGCATGGTGCTCAAGTTCTGTGCCCTGGTGAATAAAGTTGCATGTTTTTACCATAGCTGGTCTACTGGGCATGTTGCCTAAGGTAGAAACCTTGGTATCCCAATTTCAGGCACAAATATATCCTTATCATTTGTCTCTGCTACACTGTAACTTTTTTCCCCTTCTAACAGCAATCTTAACATCTCAGACTATCCTACACAGATTTTCAACAACTCATCTGGGCATTCCGTTTTTAACGACCCTATTTTAAAAGGAAACTACAATCCTTCTTAAAATCTTTGAAAAATTAGCCTTCTGTTTCCTAAGTATATAATCCATCTATCTTCATACCCATTCTGAACTGGCAAATTATTGTCACCATCCTGTTGGTTCCTTTGCCAGCAAGCTGACAAGTTTTGATAAAAACTCAAGACTAAGAAATGATGTTTTCTAGCCAGGCGCAGTGGCTCACACCTGTAACCCCAGCCCTTTGGGAGGCTGAGGAGGGATCACTTGAGGTCAGGAGTCCAAGACCAGCCTGGCCAACATGGTGAAACTCCATATCTACTAAGAAAACAAAAATTAGCCGGACATGGTGGTGTGCACCTGTAGTACCAGCTACTTGGGAGGCTGAGGCAGGAGAATCACTTGGACCCAGGAGGCAGATGTTGCAGTGAGCTGAGTTTGCACCACTGCACTCCAGCCTGGGAGACAGAATGAAACTCCATCTCAAAAAAAAAAAAAAAAAAGTTGTTTTCTGACAGTATATAAAAACAATAGTGGCAACAGCAAGTGGTTATAGGCTGTTAAATTACTGCACGCCCTATGTTCTTGTTTTTGAAACCTAGATGACCCTAGATAAACATTCCACAGTTAGAGATATCAATTTTTATTATAGACATTAGTTCTATAGACATTAGTACGTCAAAGCACTCAATGTTACTCTTTGTGCCAAGAAAACCCAATCTTAGGCCAGGCGGCGGTGGCCTCACGCCTGTAATCCCAGCACTGGGAGGCCGAGGCGGGCAGATCACGAGGTCAGGAGATTGAGACCATCCTGGCTCACATAGTGAAACCCCGTCTCTACCAAAAATACAAAAAAAAAATTAGCCAGGCGTGGTGGCAGGCGCCTGTAGTCCCAGCTACTCGGGAGGCTGAGACAGGACAATGGCATGAACCTGGGAGGCTGAAGTTGCAGTAAGCCGAGATCGTGCCACTGCACTTCAGCCTGGGCAACGAGCAAGACTCCGTCTCAAAAAAAAAAGAAAGAAGAAAACCCAATCTTAGTCCTCTTTCCAGGTTGAAGGCACTTAGTGATAAGATATAGATTACACTAACATTAAGTGAACTTAAGATTATAAGCATAAAACGTTTTCTTTATACTAATGCTAGCAGCAGTACTGTGCCCCAAATCAGATACAACTGATTTACTGCATTGGTATCAACTCCTCACTGAATTGTAGCTATGATTTTCAGCTGTAAAATATTACTTGAAGGGTCAGCATTTATAATTCATTCCATTGTATTTTTTTAAAAGCTGCACTTTCTGATGCAAAAATATAAATATGGTACACCTATAGAGCTGTTCTTAGATTATATTCCACTTAAAAATATTAAACAACTGGCTGGGCAGGGTGGCTCATGCCTGTAATCCCAGCACTTTGGGAGGCTGAGACGGGTGGATTACCTGAGGTCAGGAGTTCAAGACAGCCTGGCCAACATGGTAAAAGATCCCCGTCTCTACTAAAATAGCCAAAATCTAGCTGGCGTGTGGCACAACGCATTGGTAACTCCACGCTACTCAGGAGGCTGAAGTAGGGAACTGCTTGAGTCCAGGAGAAAAGGTTGCAGTGAGCCAAGATTGTGCCCACCTGCACTCCCGCCTGGCTGACAGAGTAAGACTCTGTCTCAAAAAATAATAATTATAAACAATTATAACTATATACAATTATATAATAATATAATAAACATACATATAATATAATTAATATATATAATAACATATAATAAACAATATAATTATATTTATTATATATAATATAATTATATTTATTTTATATATATAATAAAAATACATATACCATTTTTATATAGATTATACTCTATATAATATATACTTACTTTTTAAATCAATAATGTGAGCTATGATGGAGGAAAATCCTTCTATTTAGTCTCTTTAGCTCAAATATCAGTAATATTTCTCCTTTTTTCCCCCAAACAGTATCAATAGTACTAAAACACTATTCAGCACCATATTATAAATAACATGCAAATATGGTCATGTACATTCTCCCTGTTCACAACTGTAACCCACAGCACCTTAGACAGGACCTAGATCTAGTAATTAGGTGATAAAAATATTTGCTACTTAAAGAATATTTCAATAACCACACTGGTGCCTTAAAATAACCCTTAGGCCAGACGTGGTGGCTTACGCCTGTAATCCCAGCACCTTGGGAGGGCTGAGGTGAATGGATCACTTGAGGTCAGGAGGTCGAGACCAGCCTGGCCAACATGGATAAACCTCATCTCTAACCAAAAATACAAAAACTAGCCAGGCATGGTGGCCGCAAGACTGTAATCACAGCTTACTCGGGAGGCTGAGGCAGGAGAATCGCTGGAACCCTGGACGGGGAGGTTGCAGTGAGCCAAGATCATCCCACTGCACTCCAGCCCTGGTGACAGACAAGACATCCTGTCTCAAAAAATAAATAAAAGTAAAAAATAAAAAAGAATACCTTAAAGCAGTCCAATACTCACACTGGTAATACTATTTAAAAAGGAGAGAACATACACTTTTGCCATACAAGTGTTAAGAATCATTCCAAGAACAGTTTTTATAGTTAAGGATGAGTAATACCACAGGGCCGGCAGTTACTGAGATATTTCCCCTACATGCATTGAGTAAAAAAGATAGTAGGAAAGTGGGACTGTACGTCAGTACAGAGATAAATTCTGGATGAGTTGTGAAAGAAATCTCCCTCTTCTGATATGCCCTAAATCAGAAAGAACATTGACCAACTTATGTCGAAAAATCGTCCATTTCAAAAGTAAGATTCTAAATGGTTGATAATGGCTTTGCCTATACTGTTCAACTGTTCTTTTCTGTGAACTGGCTATAACTTGATATACAGCTTCTTGCTTTCTATGTAAATGCAGTGCTGATATGAATGAAAAGGAGAGTCACCATTAACTGATCTAATAAGCACCTAAGCAAGCACCTCTTCTTCCGCACGCGTGAACGTTTTCTTTTTTCTTTTTTGAGTGGAATCTCGCTCTGCTGCCCAGGCTGGAGTGCAGTGACACAATTTGCATCCTCCACGTCGCAACCTCCACTCCAGGGTTCAAGCAATGTCTCCTTGCCTCAGCTCTCGAGTACTGGGACTTACAGGTGCCTGCCTACCACGCCGCAGCTAATATTTTGTATTTCAGTAGAGATGGGTCTCGCACCATCTTGAGCCAGGCGCGTTGAACGCCCTGAACCTCCTGACCCTTTGTGATCCCACGCGCGCTTTGGCCGTCGCCAAAGTGTTGGGATTGACAAGGCGTGAGCCATGACGAAGGCACGG